TTTTTTTTTTTTTTTTTTGTGATAATGTCATACTCTGTCACCCAGACTGGATGGAATGCAGTGGCGCCAGCTAGGATGACAGGGTTGTATCACCACACCCAACTAAGTTGTTTTTATTTTTCTTTTTTTGAGACAGAGTCTCACTTTGTCACCCTTGGTAGAATGCTTTGGCATCCTACCTCACAGCAACCTCAAACTTTTTTTTTTTTTAATTTTTGGAGATTTATTGAGGGTACAGGAAACCAGGTTACACTGATTGCATTTGTTAGGTAAAGTCCCTCTTACAATTGTGTGTTGTCCTTAAAAGGTGTGTCACACAACAAGACCCCTCCCCTTCCCTCCTTCCCTCTTTTTGCTCTTCCTTCTCCCCACACCTCCCTCCTTCTTTCTCTCTCTGCTCTCTCCTTCCCCCACCCCACTGTGTCATTAATTGTCCTCATATCAAAATTGAGTACATAAGATTCATCCTTCTCCATTCTTGTGATACTTTACTAAGAATAATGTGTTCCACTTCAATCCAGGTTAATACAAAGGCTGTAAAGTCTCCCTTTTTTTAATGGCTGAATAGTATTCCATGGTATCCATATACCACAGCTTATTAATGCATTCCTGGGTTGGTGGGCATTTAGGCTGTTTCCACATATTGGCAACTGTAAATTGAGCTGCAATAAACAGTCTAGTGCAAGTATCCTTATGAGAAAAGGATTTTTTTCCTTCTGGGTAGATGCCTAGTAGTGGGATTACAGGATCAAATGAGAGGTCTAGCTTGAATTCTTTGAGGTTTCTCCATACTTCCTTCCAAAAAGGTTGTATTAGTTTGCAGTCGCACCAGCAGTGTAAAAGTGTTCCCTTCTCTCCACATCCACACCAGCATGAGATTTTGTGATGTGGGCCATTCTTGCTGGGGTTAGATGGTATCTCAGGGTGGTTTTGATTTGCATTTCTCTAATAATTAGGGATGATGAACATTTTTCTCATATGTTTGTTAGCCATTCGTCTGTCTTCATTAGAGAAGGTTCTATTTATGTCTTTTCCCCATTGATATATGGGATTGTTGATTTTTTTCCATGTGGATTAATTTGAGTTCTCTATTGATCCTAGTAATCAAGCTTTTGTCTGATTGAAAATATGCAATATCCTTTCCCATTGTGTAGGTTGTCTATTTGCTTTGGTTGTTGTCTCCTTAGTGGTACAGAAGATTTTCAGTTTAATTAAGTTCCATTTGTTTATTTTTGTTGTTGTTGAAATTGCAATGGCTATCTTCTTCATGAAGTCTTTCCCCAGGCAGATATCTTCCAGTGTTTTTCCTATGCTTTCTTTGAGGATTTTTAATGTTTCATGCCTTAAATTTAAGTCCTTTATCCATCTTAAATCAATTTTTAATTTTTTTATTAAATCATAGCTTTTTTAATTTTAATTTTTTAATTAAATTATACCTGATGAATCAATTTTTTTGAGTGGAGAAAGGTGTGGGTCCAGTTTCAGTCTTTCACATGTGGATATCCAGTTCTTCCAGCACCATTCATTGACTAGGGAGTCTTTCCCCCAGTGTTTATTGAAGATTTGGTGGTTGTAAGATGTTAGTTTCATTTTTTGGTTTTCTATTGGATTCTAAATGTCTGTGTCTCTATTTTTGTGCCAGTACCATGCTGTCTTGACCACTGTGGCTTTATAGTATAGCCTAAAATATAGTATACTAATGCCCTCAGCTTCATTTTTATTACTAAGAACTCCCTTAGCTATACGGGGTTTTTTTCTGGTTCCATACAAAACACAGAAGCATTTTTTCCAATTCTTGAAAGTATGATGTTGGTATTTTAATAGGGATGGCATTAAATCAGAGATTGCTTTGGGAAGTATAGACATTTTAATAATGTTGTTTCTTCCCAGCCATGAGCATGGTATGTTCTTCCATTTGTTAATATCCTCTGCTATTTCCTTCCTTAGGGTTTCATAATTTTCTTTATAGAGGTCCTTCACCTCTTTTGTTAGGTATATTCCTAGGTATTTCATTTTCTTTGAAGCTATGGTGAAGGGAGTTGTGTCCTTAGTTAGCCTCTCATCTTGGCTGTTATTGGTATATACAAAGGCTACTGATTTGTGGACATTGGTTTTATTTATTTATTTATTTTTTGTAGAGACAGAGCCTCACTTTATCCCCCTCAGTAGAGTGCCATGGCATCACACAGCTCACAACAACCTCCAACTCCTGGGCGTGGGTGATTCTTTTGCCTCAGCCTCCTGAATAGCTGGGACTACAGGCACCCACCATAATGCCCAGCTATTTTTTGTTGCAGTTTGGCCAGGGCTGGGTTTGAACCCACCATCCTTGGTATATGGGGCTGGCGCCCTACCCACTGAGTCACAGGTGCTCCCCCTGGACATTGATTTTATATCCTGAGACATTACTATATTTTTTGATGACTTCCAGGAGTCTTGTGGTTAAGTCTTTGGGGTTCTCTAAGTATAAGATCATATCGTCAGTAAAGAGGGGAGAGTTTGACCTCTTCTGCTCCCATTTGGATGCCCTTTATTTCCTTGTCTAATTGTATTGGCTAGAACTTCCAGCCCTATATTGAATAGTAATGGTGATAGAGGACAACCTTGTCTGGTTCCAGTTCTAGGAGGAAAAGCTTTCAGTTTTACTCCATTCAGTAAAATATTACCTGTGGGTTTGTCATAGCTTTGATCAGTTTAAGAAATGTGCCACATATGCCTCTACTCTTCAGTGTGCTAATTAGAAAAGAATGCTGGATTTTATGGAATGCTTTTTCTGCATCTATTGAGAGGATTATATGGTCTTTATTTTTGCTTCTGTTAACACGGTGGATAATGTTTATGAAGTTGGGTATGTTAAACCAGCTTTGTACCTCTGGGATGAAACCTACTTGATCATGATGTATGACTTTTTTTTTTTGAGACAGAGCCTCAAGCTGTCCCCCTGGGTAGAGTGCTGTGGCATCACAGCTCACAGCAACCTCCAAATCCTGGGCTCAAGCAAGTCTCCTGCCTCCACCTCCCAAGTAGCTGGGACTACAGGTGCCCGCCACAATGCCTGGCTATTTTTTGGTTGTAGCCATCATTGTTGTTTGGTGGGCCCAGGCTGAATTCGAACCGCCACTTTAGATGTATGTGGCTGGCGCCTTAGCCACTTGAGCCACAGGCGCTGAGCCAATGTATGACTTTTTTGATGATAAGCTGTAATCTATTGGCTAGGATTTTGTTGAAAATTTTTGCATCTACATTCATTAGGGAAATTGGTCTGAAATTCTCCTTTTTAGTTGGGTCTTTTCCCAGTTTTGGTATCAGGGCGATGTTTGCTTCATAGAACATGTTGGGGAAGATTCCTTCCTCCTCAGTTTTTTGGAATAATTTCTGCAGTATGGGAATAAGTTCTTTGAAGGTTTGATAACATTCTGGTGTGAAGCCATCTGGACCAGGGCATTTTTTTGTTGGGAGATTTTTTTTTGTTTGTTTGTTTGTTTTTTTTTGATTTAGTGCTTGAAATTGGTCTGTTCAGGAGCTCTGTTTCTTCCTGCATAAGTCTAAGGACAGAGTGTGTTTCCAAATATTGATCCATTTCCTTCATGTCAAACTTCTGGGCATAGAGTTTCTGGTAGTATTCAGAGATGATCTCTTGTGTCTCTGTGGCAT